AACAGCATCTTCCAAGCGGAGGTCCTGGCCATCACAGCAGCAATGCAGCACATTGTCCATAATGATCTAACTCATGCCACACTTCATACAGACAGCTACTCAACACTTCAAGCCCTCCAGAACCATGAGCACAGATCCCCACTAGTCATCGCCCTTCAGCACCTCTTGCAGCAAAATTCACATATGCACACGACGCTGATGTGGATAAAAGCACATGCCAATAACGAAGGCAATGAGTCAGCAGATCGTTTAGCCAATCAGGCAGTAACCGACTCAAATGCACAGCAGATCCACCTTCAAGCCCCACTTTCCTACCTAAAGGGACAGCTCCGGAGTAAAGGGCTCGAACAATGGCAGGAGGAATGGAACCATAGCACAACTGGCCGCCGCACCTACGATTTCTTCCCAAAAAGTCAGCACGGATCGACATATCGCAATCGCTCCGCTAACAAGATATATCACGGGACACGGCCCATTCCCCAGCTACTTCCAAAGGCACAACATCTCATCAACAGATATATGCGTCTGTGGAGCCCCAGGCAACCCAGACCACTATCTTTTCACCTGCCAGCTGACAAAAGACCATCACCTCCCATGTCCAACCATGAACAGAGATGCGTACCACCGCTTTATCATCACTCACAAGCCAGCCATAACCAAAATCTGCAAAGATATCACTCAAATCGGGGCAATGGGCCAAAATATCTGCTCACCGCAATAGACCAAGACCTATCCAGCAACTCTTTAAACACGATCATCTTTTCGTCCTCCCTACCGACTATCCAACCTTTTCAAAAGCTTTTCACTCCGGGGCCACCCCCACAAGTTGTTAAACAAAAGCTCCCCACCACCAAGCCTTCAACTTTATATGCACACGTCAATCTTCTTTAGAACTTACCTTACCGGTGTGCTAGCAGAGTACCAACTGTGTCAACTCAAAGTGCCTTCGAATGCCTACATCACCTTCCAACCTATTGCAATGAATGGTACACCGCACGTATACATCATGCACCAACTCCGACTATGTCTAAGCACTAGTGCACACATCAGTGAAGATCAGTACCTACACCTACACCGTACTTGTTCACAGTCATAGTAACTGTGCAACCATTGTGACTGTGTACTGAAATTACTGTGCCTAACATAGTGTCTGTGCTGTAGTGACTGTACCAACCTATAGCAATTGCATTAAAACTTAGTGACTGTACCAACCTATAGCAATTGCATTAAAACTTAGTGACTGTGCCAAACTCCAAATTTAGTGCTATTAGTACCACAGTGTACACTAAACTTTAGTGTAGCCTGAACTCTTGCAAATTTGAACTATAGTACAGACTGTACTTTCAGCGAACTCTAACACTAACTCCTGGCACTATAACTCGACATCCGGTACTAATAGCTTCATCTCTGTGTTTAAGTGCTCACAGCACATTTGCAACCTCAAGGATACCAGCAATACACATTTGACTCTATAAGTATTTATTACTCTTGTTTTTACTCTTGTATCTTACATATGTGTCTCTCTTCATATTTATCTTAATATCAATGCATCCTTATGTTCGTATCTGTTAGTATTTGTTTGTTTTTGCCTGTATATGTATCTATTCTTGTATTTGTTTTGTATATTTTTATGTATCTGTGTTATTCCAACAGCCATGCACACCCACAAAGTTATTGTCACGCAACCATTGTCAAACAATAATCCTCAGCCCGTGTTTGGCCATGTATTGATCTTTAGATCTGTATTATAAACTTCCGAGGCAGCCTCACGGGGCCCCAGGGAGTTGTTATTCCTAGATAGGGGAGGGCGTGGGACACACGCCTGTTTACCTATGTTAAACACCAGGCGTCCCCGTCCTCCGTCACCTGTCACCTGTAGAGTCATTAGGATTTTTAGGCCAAAGGGCGTTAGCCCAGAAAGGCTATTAATTTCAAAACCACATTTTGCATAGATTCATTTTTCAAACTGATACCACCAAATATTATCGCCATGTATTATATTTAAAGAAACTAAATAATGAAGAATTTGCATGAATACATTAATGTTTCCCGCACTGTAAAGGAACAGGTACCTGCAGCGATCAATAACGTAGTTCTCCAACCGAACATGGGCACTTAGAAGCCCGAATTTTGAATTTGTTTCATTATATATTTCAAATTTTGTAAAACTTTAACGAATGTTTGATTAAGAAACACAACTTTTTCAAAGTGAGCAATGGCAACACTGTACGGAAAAAAGCATTTTCATCTCCAGCGTGCCAGACTTTGTATCGGAAATTCTAAAGATATGCTGTTCAGCAATATTTTGTGATATTGCTGTTGAATTGAATTTTATGTGTTTTAAGTGAGAAGAACATGATATTAAATCAATAAAGGTAACACAAAGAATGTTAAAAAAACGCCCTTTTGAGCGTACTATAAAATCTGAAAACTTGTTTTTAAAAGCAGGAGACGTGAAAAATGTGCGCTGCCCTCGTCGGAACTCGAAGCCTGGAGCTCTCGAATATGTGTCGAGTGTTTTCAGTCACTCCACGAAGGAAAGCGGAAAGGAGAGAGAAAATACCTTATAAACATATTATTAAAAATACAAATATTGTTAATATTTGGCATATAAAAAATCCTAATAACTTTGATGAATTACATACATTTTATTTAATTCTGACGATTTTTCAGAATAAAACTTTCAGACTGTTATTCCGAAACTAGAGGTATTCAGAATGCTTCGCTTTCAAGTTCTTTTGTACCAACAGTGCCATTTTATCATAGCCATTCATAGACATGAGCTTTTCGACATTGAATCTGCGCTCAATACCAACTGTAAATTGTTTTATTTCCCGTGCAGTGCAGCGCGGAACGAATATTATGAGAAAGCTAAGCCGAAAAAATTAAAAATGCAAGAGCACGTGCATTGAACATTTAATAAATAAATTTAACATCTATATATAATAGAATTCGGAAATATGCAACCGGCAAAAACTGTAAATTGTTTAAAAAAAAAAACCGGCAAAAACTGTAAATAACAACTGAGTGAGGTTGCCTATCATCCATGCTGTTCATCTGGTTGAGTATCTCTAATTAACAGTTCGACAGAAAACAATGAAATAATCCAATCATGTTAACGCTAATAGGTAAAGAAAGATAACGCGATGATTTGAAAGGGCACATAGAATGCTGTTAAAATAAGGTGAAGAGCAGCGATTGTTTGCCTTCCAGAAAGCGATTAAAGTCCCTATCAATGAAATGATAGCTTGTCTTCTCAACGGAAGAGATACCCCCTAGAAGATATTCTAGGTTAGCCATATTAAGTTAGAAATTGGTTCATCGTATTTATGTTAAACATGGAGTGGAGGGAGAACATATTTTATATTAAATTTGTTCAGAAATTTCGTTAATTTTATTACCGTTCGTCTGCTCGCCTGCATATAGATCCCAGTCGAACTCCCAGTTTACTGCAATTTTATCCCCTCGGCTACCTGCTAGTTGTCCTCGGATATCGGCAAAATACAATAACGAGCTGCTTGAATCAGAACTAGCATGCTATTTATTAGATATTATATGCAAGCTTTATTCTTCTTTACAACGCCAGCTTATATCTTGTATTTAAGCCAGAGATAACCCAAAGTAATAAATTCTACCGCTATGTAGTAAACGTTTTCAGTTTTACGTATGTTTTATCCCAATAAATGGCTCTAATATCCTGAGATCACAAGCGCATTTTTTTCTTTACTTCAGTTTTGCATGGTAAGCCAAAGACTGCAGTAATTTATATTATAACATTTTGTATTATTTCTTTTATATAACAGAAGTTAATGCCGTATATTATTATAAAATACTAGAAAGCCCGGCGGTCATACGAAATGACCGCTTTTCTAGGTATTATAAACTATATTTAAAATGATTTGTGCACAGGTGTCTGCTAATTCAAACTGAATTACTCGGTGCAGGCGGCGAGGACGGCCCTTTGCTTACTGTCCCACGGGGTTTCCCTCTTCTACTTGCTTAAAGTAGAGTGCAATGAAGGAAACTACTGGCGGTACATTTCTTGAGAGCCACCGCTAGCTCAATAAATAAAGGTGATTTAAATAATAAAATGTTAATTCACATATCAAAGATCTCTTTGTACACAACATTTCTTGTCAAGATCTTTCCATCATTTTTAAGCTTGCCTTGCAGAGCACCATCAATTATTTTTAATTTTACGTCCGTTCTTTCACGAACTCTTGAACAGGCAATATAAAGTTGACCGTGTCCAAATGCAGGCTCAGGTAAAAAAATGCCAACGCGCTTAAGCGTTTGGCCCTGAGACTTATTGATGGTCATAGCAAAGGCAAGTTTTACAGAAAATTGTCTACGTCTCAATTGAAACGCAAACCTGTGCCGTGGCAACTTCACCCCATTGGCTAGTGCAGTTACGCAAGCAACCAATAAACTATCGGCGACAAACAGACACTTAAGCCGCATATAATAAAGATATTTATTTATTCCATTTTATTTGTTTTTTCATCGTTGCCGGTTTTTGCCGGTTGCATATTTCCGAATTCTATTATATATAGATGTTAAATTTATTTATTAAATGTTCAATGCACGTGCTCTTGCATTTAATTTTTTCGGCTTAGCTTTCTCATAATATTCGTTCCGCGCTGCACTGCACGGGGAAAAAAAAAATTTACAGTTGTGAGCAACCAATAAACTATCGGCGACAAACACTTAAGCCGCTTATATATAGATATAGATATATAGAATATATGGTAAATACATCAGCTTTATGTATATTTATATGAAAAAATACAAAAAGGTTGCTCTGCAGAAAATTTAGTTGATGGATAGGATAAAAGAAGCAGGCTTGCTAAAATTTTTATTTAATAAAATAATATTTACATGAAATAATGATAATGAAAATAAAATTTAATATTTCTATGCTTTTTCTAGTGTTTTATCTTTACTAATGAATCCTAGGAATATTTTAGAGACCGTTAATGTAAAAATAATGTTTTACTTACGAAATTGCTGAAGATCGATGCATTCGGATTTCGTTTCACACATCTTTCCCCAAACATAAAACACGAACACCACAACAACGAGACAACATGCCATGGTTAGCCATATTAAGTTCAGCAAGTACACTATAGCCATGCACTGAAACAGAAAATATAATAATAAAACATGAAAAAAAGCCATAGGAAGCTTTAGAAGGACTTATAAAAATGCAGCATTTTGTTGAGCATATTAGCAATAACAATGCGAACGTAATAATTTATTTACTCTTTAGTTACAATGATGTATAACTGAGAAAAATATAAACCATTTAACTCCGTAAATAGGTATATATTCAATTATAAAGATTTATGTCCTCCTTATAATTTAATTTACTAGTTTAAATTTACATAGGCTATTAATAATCTTTCATCTTCATCTGATCTCCTTCCTCTTCTTAAACATTATATCAAGTTTTACACTGCATTCTGCAAAATCTGCCTTTTTAAAGATTTCAAATATTCAATTTTATTATGGTACTGTAGCTTTTTGCAAGAAGTTGTACTCTGCTTTAGAGTCTGTCTAACTTAACATATGAAAAGATAAAACTGGTATTAAACTGGAATTTTTACAAAGCGAAAAAAATCAGAATCTTCTTGTATAATTATTATTTAAATATACATGATACGTAGACTCATATAAATCGGAAAGATTTCGAAACTTGTAAATCGAACGTTAATTTTTTTTTAAAAAAGGTAACAGTCTCTGTTAGTATCTAATATAAACAAAACTTAACTTTTAAATAAATTTTAAAAAAGAAATAAACATATAGACGATGATATTCTGTATATTGCTACAGAATTTTCTTATTATTTTTAAGTTTTATCTCGAGTTAGTCGCAATAACGAAGGGTCTCCAGTTTTTTGAAAATGTATACTAACTCTGATTTCCTTTTTGAGGTAAAAAATCCTCGAAGTTCAAAGTAAATGAGCCCTTCATTTTTTAAATCCGTCCTTGCAAACAATAATGTACAGAAATATGTACAAAGTACATAATATATAATAAATAAATGTTATTTATTGATAATACTAATGGTGAAAATGTTAATGAATCTTCTAGCTATCTCTTGCTTACGAAAACATTAGTAAGAATTATATTTTTAAACGGCTGATAAGCATTGTATTGCAATAATAAAAATCCTATGGTGCGGTCGACTGGAAACAGAAACATTAGTCAAAAGCTAAATTGTTCTTTTGAAGCAAAAGAGGTTCACTTATATGAGAAGAAAAACGAAATCGAATTTCAAGAAGTTCCAAGAAAAAGTTATTCAAAACCTTTGGATTTAAAAAAGGGGGAAGAGCTTTGTGGATCAGTTTTTTACAGTCTTTGATTGTGAATGCTGTTACTTCAAGTTTATATTTTACACTGAACTGATGAGAGATTTCGTTGATTTTATTACTGTTCTTGAAACGATTGCTTGTAAAAGAACGCAAACGCAATTAAGTTGCTTAAACAAAGTACTGCTTTATTTAAACAGCTTATTTACGTATCCATGTAATTAATTTCTTTCTGAGTAGAAAGCAGAGCCACTGAAACATTTTAAATAAGGAAACCAAAAAATATTGTATATCTTTCACTAAAAGAATAAACGTTTCATTACGTTCACGCCATTATTGATAAATTACTCTCAATAAAATTAGTTTATGCAGAACGGGCCACGGGAATCTGACGATTTTAAGATTGAAACAGTACTACAAAAGTATGTAATCACTTAAATACTTATTTATTTACTTATATTATACATATCGTTATGATATACAATGCTATTAATTCTAAAAGTGCATATTTCTCTCCTCAACCTTTATTATTATTATTATTTGAACAAAACGTTTTATAATGCTATTGTTGACGTCGTTTTTTGTCTTCCTGATCTGAGATGGTCTTGATCTGGTCCATGAATTTATCATGGGCAAGCGGATGGTAGTGCTAGTCGTTAGCTAAGATCTTAGGCGTCTTATAAGTGACAGTTCGACTTTTGCCCAGGTCTATCCCATTTTTTGATGGATAATGGATCGGATTATCCATCAAATGGGTAATGGAATTCAAGAGATTATAATAATAATGGATCTCGGATAATGGAATCGGAGAGACTCCTACCTTTCTTTTCCTACCACTAACATCTAGAGGGACTTTCGATTTATCAGTATATTAAAAGCCTCCCATGCCGCAACGACAGTAGGCATTAGAAATATCCATGCCTTTTCCGTGATTAAACTCAAGCCTAATGCTATAGCAAATCGCACCGCTAGCCATCATACTGAGCTTAATTTTCTCCACAGAATTTGCTTATTTATTGAGTTGGCAAGCTATTTGTTTTAGACTGGCAAAACTGTTGTAGATCATGGAAGGCTATGGTTCTAGCAAGATGGATCGATATGACACATTGGCAAAGAAGCAATGAATGTGCTTCAGCGAATGTTTCCTTGTCATGTTATTTTTAAAGAAGACCACGCTCCTCGGGCGGCACATTCTCCAGACTTATCGTATGAGATTAAATTCTCTCGGGCTGTTTGGAGTCTCAAGTATATAAGTTAACACAGTAACATTAACAAATTCAAGATTTGAGTCCTACTGATATTGAATTTGAGTCGATGTTGATTGATATTAGCTATATCAGTCAACATCGTCCAAAGAGCGATATAATAACAATGTGAATACATGACAGAATGAAAGAGTGTTGCCCATATGACCCAGAACATTTGAGCGATGTGTCGTTCAAAAATAGCAGTCTGAAGAAAGAAATAGTATTGTTATATATAAATGGTCTACTGTTGAATAAGCAAATGTTTGAGTTACATTTCATAGCATTGGTTTCTATCTCCAAATCTGCAGATTTCGATGACCCATTAACAATATATTAATTAGAATTATTAAGATAATAAATAATATTAATATTTACTATTTTTCTTTCCGATATTAGTCATCTAAGTACTTAATCAGACTCCTTAATTAACTAACTAACTGCTAATTTTTAAAAGATATTGGACGTCCACAAGATATTGGATGGATTACAATGCCAGCAGTTCTGCGTAAAGCTAAAGCACTAAGTGGGTCGAAAAGAAAACGGGACAGAAGTTCTTAACGCTTAACCAAGGGTTACAACGTCAGACATTCACTTCTACTCGGACGTACGCCTGCCTAGATCTCCAAGTTTGGTTTCATTAGCGTCTGAAGAACTCAACGTCATAAATGCATCGGCTTCATAATATTATATTATATCATATGGGATGCAATTTATAATTATTTTCGTCTTAGGGGTACGCAATCGAAAACATTTGGAGATCGCTGGTCTAAGCAAGCAGGAGTGCAGGCTTCTTCTACTCAGGATCATACCGTTAACTATCTTTCTCATTTCAACATTTTAACCTATTCGCTTGCCATAAAATTTACATATATATTTAGACTGAGCTAATATGCTATGAAACAAAGCATAAAGGAAGAAATCAACATTAAACACTTATTTTTAGTAAAATTTAAATCAAAAGTTACTATGTCTATTTAAATTCTTATGAATATAACAAGGGAGTTTAATGTACCACTACATTATAACGGAAAGAGCTACGGTATCATCATTAATGGTTACGGACAGACAAATGCTTAATTATTTTTTACAGATTTCACAAACCGTATATTGCCTGCCTATCGTGGCCTGGCAAATAACTGCCATATTATCTAATACTCAGTCTATCGTTTTCCACTCCACCTTGAGTGATAACTATATAGTTTCATTTCTAATTATCTCACGAAATAGGCAGCATAACCTCAGATGCCTAGCCCTTAATGTAATTCAAGAAGAACAAGTTATGTAGCATTACGTCTAGTGATCAAGGCTATTAGGCAGGATATAGCGAGGTGTCATGGTATCCATCTGTCCTTCTCACACAGATAGACACACACAGTATTTTGAAAGTAGAGTGCAGCTTCACTATACCTTTCCCAAGATTTAATTGAGTTCAAAGTATCAGGTGGACATGGCAGTTTGAATAAAGATGGGCCGAACTGCACGGCACGATTTAAATTTGCCTGACACGAAAGCGATTCATCAAGAATCTGTAGAACTAAAAATTTTAAATATTTAAATACTGGAATTTTTTTCTTTTAACTATCATTAACAGCGTAACTCTATACCTTTCAGCTAAAATGTAGTTCTACAGTAAATCGGCTCACCAGAAACCGAGCATAAAATCGCTGAACAGTGGTAGCTGGATCCGGGTTCAAATCCCGGGTGAATGGGGTGGCTGCATGGGCGATTTCGAAGTTTTCCTCATGTGTAACGTAAATGCGACCCAGCTTCTCTTATAAAGGCCCCCACGAAGACATACCTTCATTAGGCATATGGCTATACCATAATCAAGCAAACCAAACTAAGCTACAGTAAAAAAATAACTAACTATTTTTTCATAATTGCATTGTGACAATATATCAGTTTCTCATTGTAAAATATTCTCATTGTAAAATATTCACATTGTAAAATATTCATTATGTTTATTATTTTCTATTTTCCATCAAGGAAAAAAAAGAAGCTACTACAGTTAATGTTTGAGGCATTATCAGCAGCAATTTTCGAATTGCGACTTCCAGAAAGAGTCTGTAAAAAATGAATTATCTTGTACATTTATATATCTTTTTTTTAATAAATTATTCACAAAGGTTGTACTAAATCAAATAATAAATAAAACTTTCCGACATGTTTACACATGTTGTTATTTTAAATAAACTACCAATATAATTGTATAAAATGCAATAATTAACTTTTATACGAGTAATAATTAACTTTTTAACTCGTATTAAATAACTTCTGTTGAATTATATTGTTATTTTAAATATATTACTGATCAAATTGTATTAAATACTAAAATAAATATAAATTTATATTAAATGCCTTCTATTACGACAATGAATCAATTGCTGATTTATCTTTACCGTAGTCAGTTTCGTTTACTCGGATGTTTTAAACATTTGGCAACAAATTGCACTTTCATGAGCCCGAATTTTGCCAATGACGTTTTCTATCGCTAAGGGAGGTATAGAAATCAAGTACGAAACTACTATGATTCACATTTTACTTTTAATTAAAACTACAAAATTCGTGGAAATTTCTCAAGGTTTCAATAATTACTTCTAAAATAAAAAAACATAGATATATGTTGTTGAAATTATATATCTAACGAGAACATTTACAGATTCAAATAGCATTCAATCATTATAATTACCAAAGCAGATGAAATCCGTCCTCCAGCGCGTGACTTCCAGCCTCCATATATCTTTGATCTCGTTGCTCCCGTGGAAAATATCCCGATAATCAGAAGTGTGAATGCCAGAATGCCCATAAAGGCACCGACGATAATGAATATGAGCCGTAGATAATTTAACCTAGAAATAGATAATTTACAGTGTAATTTAAAATAGTAATAACAAACTAAGCAAGCGTTTCCCAACAAGATTCCTCAAAATTCTAAAACTGCGTGGAAAATCGCTAGATGTTTACTCATAAAATTTAGCAAATAGATTAATCATACGTAAATATATGTAAATATCGTATTTAATATTTATTTAGAAATTCCCTGACATAACTATTGTTTTAAGATTCCATACGAGCAAAACGTTTGAGAAACACTGAGTTAATAAATGTACTATTTCAAGTAATGTAACAGGTTTATATTAGATACGTCATTGATTTCTACCAAAAAATTTTAATATTTGTTCATTTGCAGTGAATAATTTGGTATGAATGTAGAAGCATATTAAATCACTGGAGGCAAGAAACTCGTATCACGCAAATAGGTACGAAATTTTTTATTCTTGAACAAGACTTTTCCATGATTGAAAACTTTTCGTGTACAGCAAGCTTAATGTGGAAAAATGCCTAATCACTGGTATGTGAAGTTTTCTATATACCATTTATACAGGGTGAGTTAAAAATTAGTGACAAATTTATAAGACGTACAGATGTACTGCATTATTTTCAGGTGCTTAGATGGGTGGGAGTAGAGCATTATTCAAATAAGAAAATGTCTCTGACGTAATCCTTTGTCAGAAGAAATCTACAAATATAATAAGAGATTACAGAGCGAAAATAACTACATTGTGCGAAGAGGCACTCATTTGTTTACAGTTTCAAATAGCAGTACTATGATCTTCAGTTAACTTCTGTTCGCATGTAGAAGTGTGCGGAATGATGACAGAAACACGAAAGAGCTTCAACAATCCGCATTTCCGAATATCTGGCATTCTGATTATCTGGACCACTTGATCGTCATTTTAGGCCAAATAAAATTAAACTTTTAATTTATCTTCGTATTTTTAATTTTTTGTTGATTGAAATAAGCATAAAAGTATAATATACTACAGAATATATTTTAAGAAACCATTAAATTAATTTAAAAATTAATTAGAAATTATTATACAATTTAATTACGCAAATTATATAATTAAATTTACTACGTATTGATTTAATTTCAGTTATTAGGCGATGCGTTTTGTTTTGAGCATAATTGTTAGCGCTCTTGACTGCTGTAGTGTTGGGCTTGGGTTCGAATCCTGGAGAAGTCTTAGATATTTTAAGTGTATACTGTTTGTGTGGCTATGAGAACACTTAAAAATTGGTGACCTTGTAAGGATCTTAAGTTTTACTAACGTTTATTTTATTTTAAATCTTTACTATCACTTCTTATTTTCTACTTCCGGCCAGAATTAAAAGCTTTAACTTATTTATGCAAAATTTGTCTGGCGAACGCCAAGTACTTAAGTTGTGGCTTTTTGCCAAGCGAGAGAGAGGAAGGAGTTAGTCGAAGCAGGCCGCTTACCTTAGCAGTTTTACTCGGTTGCTGGTTGCCTTCCAGGCCAGAGGTTTAATCCTCGTGATAATTTTAAACGTAGTGTTAACAGTTCTCTGTACTACATACGGCTTCCTGTTAATATACGGCCAATCTTCCACGTAGGCCTTTGTTTATTATTCCAAAGTTAAGTTAGAGTTTAGTTAAATATTTTTATATTCTTACGTTCAGACCACAAGTAGTTGGTCTCTGTATTCCGAAGTGCGGAAATTATTGTAAAGAGTGAAAAAAAGGGTTTCGTATACCCTTCCTGTGTATCTTGTCTACTTCCCACATTTATTGAACATAGCTTTAGTAAGCTCCCTGTTCCGAGTCAGGGTCTTTCAATGTTCCCCAAGCAAGTAAGGAGAAACATTGAACCTGATAACCTTAAAATCAACTCAAGTTTGGTAGTAATGGAATAGAAGTGATAGACCTTCGGATTTGTCTCCCACAGTGTTCTCCAACAAAATTGGGACGGAACTTCCCAGTTCTCGAAGGTGTAAAATCGATTGCCCTCTGTGGTGCACTTTGGAAAACGATCTCGGTGATGAAACAGTTAAATGACCAATGTGGGGGGGGGGGGGTATTTGCCATAATGAATGCATTAAGTTGCTAGTGTCCGGCCGTAATGAATGCATGAAGTTGCTAGTGTCCAGACATAATGAATGCATTAAGTTGCTAGTGTTCAGCCATAATGAATGCATTAAATTGCTAGTGTCCACCCATAATGAATGCATTTAGTTGCTAGTGTCCAGACATTTGAAACAACAATACAGTAAAAGCAACTGCTTACATTTTATAATAAAAATAATATCTGTACCTAATTGTAGGGTGTACCTAAATTAATTGCAGGGTTTATCTAAATAAATATCTGCTTCGTTGTTTTAGTTTAGTTGAAATATAAATGAACTGTACAATTACACAATTAAAAAAGAATTTAGTTTTCTAATTTCGCAGTAAATAGTGCGTTTTTATTTTGTTTTGCAGAAAAATTCTTTCCTTTAAATATATGAACTTCGTTGAAGTAAAATACTAAAAACGAAAAAAGAAAGTTATCTTGCTTGCATTATAGTCAAGATATATTTGGTTTACTGAAAAATAAATATGCTGGGATTTAGTATTCGAAGTTCGGGTATCAGACTACTGTTCTTTCTAATCTGCTTGGTGAACATGACGTGTCCTGATTAGACAGTGAGTCTGACAACAAACTGTGTCTTATGGAGTGTGTAAGAGACAAGATGGGAAGGGTTTAATTGCCTTTTATTCTCCACGATATTACAGGCGCTCCCGCACTTCAGGATACGAAGACCAACCACTTGTGGTCTAAACGTAAAAATAAAGAACTACTGACTAACTAAATTTTAAATAAAAGCTAACTTTGAATACTTTACACAAATGACTAAGACTGGCCTTTTAAATTATTACGTATGTACTACGCAAACTGCGGAAAAGTACAATACGTCTTTAGTTTTCGAGAGGAATAAAACCTCTGGCCTTAAAAGCAGACAGCAACTGACGGCAAGCTCGAGTGAAATGCAGTGGCAAGACGGCTCACTTTCTCTCCATCTAACTCTGCTCTTGGCAAAAGCCACAACTTATATACTTAAGCGTTAGCAAGTACAATTTGCATAAGCAAGTTAACGCGTTTATTCTAGCCGGAAGTGGAAAATAAGAGATGATAGTAAAATTTTAAATAAAACAAACGTTAGTAATACTTAAGACCCTTACACGGGTATCAGGTCAAACAACTTAAAGTCACGGTCAACTCGTCACCAATTCAATGTCCCTTCGCAAAATGTGACGCACGTACTTTATTACATTATATTCAGGTGCTTCTGCTTATTCAGGATAAATTCGAAGATTTTTCTGCGAAACCTGCATCATTCTAACTCTTTACACGCTTAAGTAATCAGTGAAATTTTGGCTCCCGCTATGGATTTGCGGGTAGCTGTGTCTACATAAAATCCTATTCTAATTTAACGAAACGCTAGGAAGTGGCAATAAAATTCGTAAATCGAGTTTAGTTAAAACAGAGGACATGAAATAAACACACAAAATATGCAATAAAACGCAAAACAAAATACATAGCTATAAAAATCTTGGTAAAGTGAGCAAAGGATAAATGCAATAAGCAGCAAAATATAACACTGGAATTTTTTTTAAATGCAACAAATTACTTTTTTTTATTTTTTTTTTTTTTTTTTTTTTTTTGAAGTCTCGGTTGTTTCAAAGATATCCTTTCCCAAATCCTTCATCAATTTTTTAGAAAGCGTTAAGTACTCCATTTTTTTTTCATTTAAAACTTTGTTAGGAATATTTTGTTATCTCTGAAATCTTCTCGGAAGTATGTCTACTGTAGTGAATGCTAAATCAAATTATTATTTACTCCGTAAAGCGTGCTGCAAATCTTCGTGATGTACTCTTGTTTCCATATGATGCCAATTAAAACTTGTAGGCATTTTATAGCAAATATCTATGGAGATCTTCGGCAAATATATTTTATTTGTTTAATTATTCAATCTGCGTGGTGTCTGAATTATGTCTGACTTTAGAGCAATCAAATCTATATTGGTGACCCAATTCAGTACCATAAACATGATTTGCATGGTTTTTAACCGTTCGTCTTAAAACTTGTTTCATCTTCATTGTGTTGTACTTTAGAATTCTATAAATTATAGTCGGTAGATATATTAACTGAAAATTTGTAGATCCGTTACATTTTATTCTACTCTTCGACAATATCATCTTTACAGGCTATAGCAATCAAATGCGTTTACTGCAAGCTGATAAAAATCTGGCTTTTTTTAAGGCAGTTCTTGATAGCGTTTGATGTAACTTCTTTCCAGGAAACTCGGGCAGTATTCATTTAACAACAAATTTAGCTTACTTTCAAGAAAAATTCTTTTCAAAATTGTATTTTATTTTATTTATTTATTTATTTATTTACTTTTTTTTTTTTTTTTTTTTTTTTTTTTGCCAGTTTGTCAGATTAAGATAAAATAGGCAAAATACTTGTTAAATCGAGGTGTTTATTTTGAGGGGGTCAACATTTAGTAAGGAGACAAGTGCGTAAAAAAGCTTCAAACCCAGTATGAAATAAAATAACCACTGATGAGAAAACATTATGTTATAAGATTTATTATAAGAAATGGCTTCCCTTAAAAATTCATTGATATGTTGTAGGACTAAATTCGTGTAAAACAGAAGCTGACAAAAACAACATTCTAATTTCTTCGCCTTCAGTATATAAACCTAATAAATATATAAATCTTGTAAATATTAACTTTTGGCATGCGTAGATAGCTGCTGGATTCTTCCTTAGAACTCCTTTTTGGGTATCCTAGTTATCTCTGGTTACGCCTTCTGAATCTCTTCAGTTTTATTACAACAATGATCTTTGAGGTGACATTTCACTTTAGTGAAGAGAAAATAGCCTGCAGGTGCCAAGTCTAGTGAATAAAACGGTGACTAAAAATTGTGACGCTTTTGTTCGCTAGAAACAACTTAAATTGGATGGAATTGTGGTCCGTTGTTGTGCAACAGAGATCAGTTACTGGATTAAGTGTTTTCAGGCCTAAACGAGCTGCATTGTCTTCAGAAGTCGATCCATTAAGGACCGTTCCCACTGGGATTTATCTGAGCTAACAGAGTGTCGACTAGCTCCGAGTGTCTGCAGTTCAGATTTTTCATCTTGCTGCTCTATGGGAAAAAACTGATTTTGGAGATGGGTCGGCTACGTCAGTTGTGCTCGTTAGCACAGATAAACCCCAGTGGGAACGGCCCTTTACATTTTCATAAAATATTGAGTTCAACGTCTGTCCTTCAGAAATTCCTTGTGAATTATCCCCTTTAAGTGAAAAAGATCACCTACAATGCTCTTTACTAGAAATTTCGGAAATCGTAGCTTCTTTAAAGGGCCGTTCAGACTAAAGTTTATCTGAGCTGACGGAGTCATTTCTATGTGTGCTCCGCTATGCCTGCAGTTCAGATTTTTTCAATTTTTACCATCTTTAGATGGATATGAAATTAAATAGGATGCCCTTATCAGGGTATGATAACTATGTATTGGTAAAGGCCCTTATTAGGGCCGAATACCAATCAAAGAGGAACAGGATAAGGATAAAGATATCACCTCGCTGAGCTATGGAAAAAAACTGGTTTTGGAGATGGATTGGCTAAATCAGTTGTCTCCGTAAGCTCAGATAAACCCCAGTCTGCGCAACCCTTTCAATCTTTTCCAGTTCAAGCAAATGATCGCTATTTTGTCTCATTATAAACAAAGTAGCAAATTTCGTCTCCAGTCACGATCAAGATTAATGTCCGTCATTTAGATCTCATGAAATGCAGAAATTCGATCTCCTTTCCATTATGCAAAGAGTGAGAAACAAAACCACAGCAAATTTTTCTTTATACAAAATCCCCCCTACAATTTAACGAGCATTAGCTATCACTTTATATATTGATTAGCTATCAGACTGAAGGATACAGGTGACGATTCTTCAATAAAAACTATCGAACTTTAATGATATTCCCATCTGTTCGAAATTGTGAATGGCGACCATTTATTTTATGGGTTCATCATCAATACGTTAGCGTGCATTGTCCATATCAACGAAAAATATCGGATCCTGTTAATGCTTGATCCTCGTATGGTTTACGTACCATTTCAGATGTTTCTATTGCTTTTTTTTTTCCCCTTCGCAGCGAAAGTTTCGTGTTATTTTTTGCTCAACCTTCGAATTCATGACAGCAGGTGTTTACTGAATTAAAAAAAACGATTAACCGCATAGAAAAGTCTATTCGTACACATACGAAGTTATGGACCAAAATTCTGCATCAGCGTAAGCAGTCTGTATTTTTATGAAAAATAAATTGAGATATCATTATAAGTGCTACTAGTTATCGTTTGGCAAATTAAATGGAATGTTTAAAAATTAGTTCTAAAGCTTTATGTATGCATTTTGTATATCTGCTAGCTGAAAAATAATTTTCTGCATTAATTTTAATACTTCTTTTTTTATTACCATCGCGTAAATAATGTAAAAGAATCATAACATTAAATATAAAGTTGATATAGCTAATATAATTTACAGTATCCATTTTAACAAACATCAGTATTCATCTTCATGTTGCGTGCATTAGATCACACTTATAAAGGCGCTGAAAAAAATTACAATTGGGTCATTTGGTAAGATCTTCATAAATGATCAAATAAATTACAATTAATTATTTAAAAATGCATACATAAAGCGTTTCAGCTATTTTATATTTAAGAATAAATATTATGGCATAACTTAGATATCAGTATAAATACCATTCTAAATTGTAGGTAAAAATATCGTCAAACATCTGCAGCGTAAGACGTACAGCTGGATACAGACATATCAGAAACGTTAAAACACCCGCACAGCAGAGAATTGTAGCAATAAATGTACCGTAAGGCACTCTGGTCATACACTTTGCGCAGCAACCTGAAAATCAATAAAAGAGAATTTATTAGTAACAAATAATAAATAAAAAACTATAATTACAAAATCGCATTTTTCTTTTACGAATCTCTCTTATAATGCCAGAATGATGAAGAATTAGTTGTATTTAATGTAATTATGTTTCTAGTTTAATATTCAAAAAGTAATTTCAGTAGTGTGAATAGAACATTACATTTTGGTTGGCTGATTAACTCATTAACGCAAAACACATAAAGGCAATCTGACTAAAGTAGAGAAGGTTTCGTGCAGAGCTTTCTAAGGAAACATGTAGCGCATTAATAGTATTACACACACGAAAAACAAAGAAGCTCCGTACAACCAGTCCTTTTTCCGGAATTTAAAGCCACTAAATATAGCGGTCTTTTAGCCACTCAGCCGTTGAAAGGCTGACCTAAAATAATGAATAACAGAAGTTAATTTTTTATTGATAAAAGATTAATTACTGACATTTTAGAAAATGTAATCAGACGCACTACTTTCGTTCTCAACATATAACAGCGGTTATAAGATGAAACACTTTGACTGAACCCAGCAACTAATTATTCATTTAAGAGTAATTAATCCTCCAGTAATTAGATGATAATTTTGAGTTTCAATTATAATTTAGAAAGAAGACTTTCTTGCTTTCATTTAGGTGATTTAGCAGTAAAAACCTGATTTTATAAAATAAAAACATGAACTTGTGGGGAAAAGTTTTTAATTTCAAAATTACTAATAAAAAATCGATTAGCTTTATTTAAACGCTCAATGCAATTTTTATAAAAGTGTTATATATTTTTTTCCTGTCTAAGAATGAATGTAAGAATTCATGAAAAATATTAAGTAAAAACTAAGATATTAGATTAAGATTATTATTATATAAACTAAAATTATTATTGTTAAGACGTCATAAGCTTTACTGAGTGTCTTTGCAAATTTTCTTAATTTGCTTTCATTTAGGTGATTTAGCAGTAAAGACCTGATTTTATAAAATAAAAACATGAACTTGAAAAAAAAAAAGGTTTTAATTTCAAAATTACTAATAAAAAATCGATTAGCTTTATTTAAACTCTCAATGGAATTTTTATAAAAGTGTTATATATTTTTTTTTCCTGTCTAGGAATGAATGGAAGAATTCATGAAAAATATTAAGTAAAAACTCAGATATTAGATTAAGATTATTATTGTATTATTGTTAAGACGTCAAAAGCTTTACTGAATGTCTTTGCAAATTTGCAAAGCCCGGTGATACCAAAGGATTTAAAATAATAAGTATACTTTTTAAGATAAATTTGTAATCTAAAATAAATATTTATCAAAAATTAGAAAAATATTGATGAAAAATGATTAGGAAAACATCCTGGAGTTTTCTGCACATAGCCTAACAATATGTGCCATGAATGATTTGAGCATGTTTCCCATCACGAAAAAGTGGTCAGTCCTTTTTGCCTTTCTTTCAAGAGATAAAAACATTCCGTAGAAAATTTATGTTTCTTGGAGTATCAGGCTCATTCAAAGGATGTAGAGAGTTAATAGATACATCATCAAAGGCTCATTCAAAGTACGTAGAGTGTTAATAGATGCATCATTAAAGGCTCATTCAAAGGATGTAGAGTGTTAATAGATGCATCATTAAAAACTCATTCAAAGGATGTATCAGGCCCATTCAAAGGATGTAGAATGTTAATAGATGCATCATCAAAGGCTCATTCAATGGATGTAGAATGTTAATAGACGCATCATCAAAGGATATATCAAAGGATGTATCAGGCTCATTAAAAGGATGTAGAGTGCAAATTTGGGTTTATTTTGAAAAGACTATTGCTAAGGCTGAAGAACAAAAACTACTAACAATTTGATTTTTTTTTTTTTTTTTTTTTTTTTTTTTTTTTTTTTTTTTTTAATTTGACACTGGCCTAAATGTACACTCCTTTTAGATGCCAAACAGAAAGACGAAGCTTTTAGAAATCTTATTTCTGTTTGGGGTGATAACCATAGTGACCAAGTTTGTTGAGTCTATTAGGTTTTTCGATGCAGAAAACGGAAAAAATCAGCAATGCCCTCGCCGGCATTCGAGCTCCAGACCTTCCGATTGCGAGCCAGGTGTGCTTCCAATTACAGCACGAAAGCACCGTGAAAGGAAGGAAAAAATTCCTAATGAGTTCAGTGTCAATGGCTCTATCATTCTTAGACTAGCTATGTAGCGTGCCAACAAACGGCAGCACAGTACTGTACTAGCAGCTATACTGACCTTCAATCTTGATAAGGCAGCGTGCCAGGAAACATTTTTGTGGTAGTCTGCGATTGCATCATGGATAGATAGGTAAAACAAGAAGCGAACATGAAATTTTGCGTTTAATTGGGCAAATCGGTCAAAAAGCATTTAATATGCTTCGGAAATGAGTCACGCGCATTGTTTCGAAACCTACAGGCATTGCAAAGGCAGAAGAACGTCCCTTGAAGACGACAAGCGATCTAGATCTTTTACGAACATCAACTACTAGAGCAGTAAATGAATAAAAAAATACCAGAAAATGGCTAGTATAAAATTTTATGCCTGAACTCTCATATAACTTCCTGCAATTTACAGTTAATGGCTCAAAATAATTATAATTAATGGTTTAAGGTATTCTCAATCCATATTGTAATATAGTCCATTTAACGCATACCCAATTTATGGTTCAACGTATTGCCAATTCATGGTTCAACATACGAGTATTACCAAATAATGGTTCAGCCAGAGCACCAAATAATGGTTCAATGTTTCACCACCTTTGGGTTGCAACTTTTTCAGCACCATAATTTGGTGAAACCTTAAACCAAATTTTTAATAGAGTAAATGTTGGTGGACGATAATTCATCACTACCAGGATTTGGCGAGTGGATCCTGTAATCCACAGTCGCCCTTTAAAACGGGGAGTAATAAGGCATTTCATCCCTCCTTTCCGAATGCCTTTGGGGTGTAATTGGAAGCATTCTCCACGGAGAGAGGTCCAGGATTCGAGTCCCGGAGAGGGTACCGCGCATTTTTCACGTCTTCTGCCCCCCAAAAAAACTCCTAATGCCTCTACATATTAATTAATAACAGACAGATTAAATATGAAAGATTAATATCTTACGTTTTCCCGAATGGCAAAAGACTCGAATGAAAAGTGAAACAACGCAAAATCTTGTTCGGAGACAAATAACCCTTTTTGGCTAGAAAAACCTCATATAATTAAAACGAAATGGATTCTGACCACCATATGCTTATATTCTTAGCTAACACCTGACTACTTTTAAGCAGAAACTAGGCCTACTAGTTAAGATCTTAAAAACGACAAACCCAAGTGGAAGGGGAAAAGTTGTTACAATACTGTTTTTTCCATAGTAAATTAGAGCTAAGTGAAGAACTGTGCGTTTATCAAAGAAACGTTTTAGTTATTAAAGACATAGCTATGGATCTATTTCATTGTTTTCTTCATATACGAAGGCTTGCAATAAATAATTCTCTGTAGTAGAAGTAATTGTTATTTTGCCAGGATCTGAAATCCGCTTACTGAAAACGACAAATATCTCTAATATACGGTAATTAAATTTCGATGTGTTAAAAAAAAAGAAAATGTAATATACATTGATCTTGTGCTAAATAGCTGAACGGTAAATAAAACCGTTTAGTACTTTTTAATATTTCTATTTAATAAAGTCTCTTTATTTCCCTCACAGAATTCAGTTTTGTCATTATAATTGATTAATTCGTAAATTAGAGGAAAATATTAACAATTTTATAGAAAATTACAGTCAAATTAACAGGAAATGATAAAAATGCTGCAATTCTTATCACAACAGTTGCGTGATGAAATTACTATCGAGTCTAAAATTTTACAGTGTTTATCTCTGCGTGAAAAACAAAGTACGATAAGCTCAGCTCCAACATTTAATATATTCGAGATGTTTCAGGTGTGAGCACCATTTCAGGTGTGAGCGTGAATTTTGTAAAGAGAATTATTTAATCTCCTGATCCCATTAAACTATATGATAAATTACTTTTCCACTTTTAATTCATTAATGACTTTATCAATTTTAATTACAACGTATTTTATAAAAACTTCATTTTTTTTTAATTGTGATAAGAAACAAACTAATTTTTCAAGAAAGTAAATGAAATTCTTGGGTCTTAAATGTTGCTCATTTACATTTTTATGACAGTAGTAAAGTTGTGCATGTCAGAAATAAAATTGAATATAAGTACAGGCACATATAAGCATATGCACACTCAAGTTGAAAATCTATAGTTTTAGTATCTTGGTATGCTCCCACTTTACACGTTAGAGAAGAAACGGTGCTTGGACTGTAAAGCATAATCATGTGTAAAAGAAGGGAATTAACTGGAAACAGATATAATAGGGATAACTACATTTTATCTATCAAGACAGCAAAGTTGATGACCTTCGGAATTTTCACTCGAGGTGTTTCACCTGGAAGTTACTTAAGCAGGAAAGTGCATTGAACGTTATCTAATGATAAACGCTCCATTTAGAATGCTGGACTTATCCATTTTTTTTAGCGTCTTTGCTCAAGTTCCAAACGACTTCTCATCCGAGCGCTAAGCGAAAGCTTAATATCTAGGATAAATGACACTTGGAGCTCAAGACTGTAGAAGAAGGAATGACTGTATCAGTTAGGTATGGATTTTCAGCAGCAGTATATGTAACAGGTATTGTAAGATATATCAACAAATAGATCTGCTACCATAAGAATTTTTAAATCTACCAATACTTCGGGAAATTTTTAATTATTTTTTCTTCAGCGTATCAACGAAATAGTTTTGGAAAATAATACTGACATGGAGAAATACAGATGCAAAGCGAATTAAAGCAGCGTTAACAAAATTTTAAACTAACTATGCCAGCCAGATACTTTCCAATAGAAAAAAAAAAGGGGGGATGTCAATTTTTATTTATTCCACTTGCAGCAAGTAGTCCATAAAGCAATTATTAATTGAGAAACCAATTTTAAAAAAG